GGAAGGGAGGGGCAAAAATGAGGAGCTGAAACAAAGGCTCAAGTAGAAAGCAAGTGTTTTGAGAATGATCATGGCAACATATGTACAAATGTGCATGACACAATTGATGTATGCATGGATTTTGATATGAGTTGTATGAGCCCCTAATAAAATGATTTAAAAAAAAGAAAAAGATGTATCCTGAAGTACAATGTTGTCAGTGATAGAATAATATACACCTACAAGGAAGGCCAGTTAATACTACTATTATTCAAATGTATGCAACAACCACTAATGCCGAAAATGAAGAAATTGATACTTTTTATCAACTTTTGCATCTGCAATTGCACAAACATGCAATCAAGATAAATTGAAAACTACAGCTGATTGGAATGCAGAAATTGGAAACAAAGAAGGGCTGACAGCTGGAATATATGGCGTTGGGGATAGAAATAACACTGGCGACTGTAAGACCAACAGCTTCTTCATTGCAAATGCCTTTTTCAACAACACATAATTTAAATTTGTTCTAGTTTTTATTTTGTTTTCTTTTGTTACAGTTTTTCTGTGTTGTATTTTGTTATTGTTATTGGGTGTTTTGTTTGCGTGTTTTAATATGATTTTCTTATCTGAAAACCAGGCAGGCTCAGTAAATCTATAAGAGACAGTAACTGAATGAATAATTTCTTTGAGTTATGGCAAGGGAGGTTGGGGGGGATGGGGAGCTAATAATAATGAATGCAAAAATTAAGAAAATGTTTAAAAATTATCGTGATGACTGCACAACTCTTTTTAAATATATTTAAACCATTGACTTGTTTTATATGGCAATAAAACTGTTAAAAACTTTAAAAGGTAGAGCATTATTAATAAATTACAATATATAACACACGAAGAACTATTAACAAGCTACACAGTTTGTTTGTTTTTTTGCTGCAATTGATATGGTTTTCAGTGACTAATTTTCCAGGGGTCTATTTTTTCTTCCTAGTCTGTTCTTAGTCTGGAGGCTCTGCTGAAACCTGTTCTCCATTGTGTAAGATCAGTGGAATTGTCATCATCACAGCAACACGCAAGCTACCACAGTGTGACAAACAGGCAAACAAGTGGGTTCAAGAGGGCAGGGGATCTGTATTGGCTTTTAAATTGATACATATAACAAGGAAACAAAATAGTGGATCAGAATGAGACCTACACATTTATCAATAATTTCTTTTTGACAAAGATGCAAGAACAGCTAAGTAGAAAAGGGATAGTGTTTTTTTCTTTCTCTTTTAAATAATTAAATCATTTTATTGGGGGCTTGTACAACCCATCATAATTCACACATTCATCCATTGTGTCAAGCACTTTTGTACATTTGTTTCCCTCGTCATTCTCAAAACATTTGCTTTCTACTTGAGCCCTTGGTATCAGCTCCTCAGTTTTTCCCCTTCGTCCCCCCTCCCCCCTCCCCCCATGAATCCTTGATAATTTATAAATTATTATTATGTTGCCATATCTCACACCGTCCAACATCTCCCTTCACCCACTTCTCCGCTGTCCGTGCAAGGACAGTGTTTTTAAACAAATGTGGGATCAATCAGACCTCCAGGGCAGTGAATTACTGGATACGGCTCTTCTAGCCATAGTCTTTGTACCTCCCACACCAACCGATTATATCATGATGGGTCTGAGTAAGAAAATCCAAAAACTCACAGTCACCAAGTCAATTCTGATTCAAAGCAACCCTATAGGACAAGGTAGAACTTCCCCTGTGGGTTTCCAAGACTGTACCTCTTTACAGGAGTAGAGATCCTTTTTCCCCAAGGAAACCCCAAGGTGGTTTCAAACTGCTGACCTTACAAGTAACCACTATGCTGTCATGCTCTGCTCGGGTAAGAGAAAATGGAGGGAAATGTTGAAATGATTTAACTGTAAGTGAATGCTAACAAAGCTACTTGTGATTGTAAAACTTGAAATGCTAAAATGGGAATTAGTCAATGTTGCCATCTTGCTGGGTATAAAATGAAACACATCAGAGGCAGGAAGGGAGCAGGGGGTCCGACTAACAAGAAAGAACCATTATGACAAACCTGCCCCAAACTGCTCTCCTATGTTGCTTTTCCCATGTCAATCTCGTCTCAACACTGCCCAAATTTTCAGCATAGGGTTGAACCACCCTAATGATTTAACTTGCTTTCTCTAATGCCTTTGTAATGAGTCATTTCTCATGACAGAGGATAAGTTTATTACAGATAAGATGTAAATAAGTCTTTTCTTGTGATAAGTAAGAATATCGAGGGCCATGGGCTGGTAAGACCTATCTGATCGTCTTGCTTCTCTTTTGTCCTAAATCTGAATGTATTCATGATGAGTTCTGCCTGCTGCTATAATCAGAAGAGCTATGGAGGTCCTCTAGAGAGCAGAGGAAGTGACGTGATGGATGTAGAACAGAAGAAAATGAGGAATGATGATACCGCCTCTCTGGACAACAGGCTTCAAAAG